GTATGTTTAACGAATGCGATGTCTATTATAATATACGTTTTTATAACGTATTAAAATGTATATTTGCTGTAATATATTAAAAAGGTAACTGAACAGATTACTACGTTATAGGTAGCAATTAATTATAATTAAAATTTGAATGTACATAATTATAAATTATTCAAATAACAGACCTGGACAATGATTATTTTTTAATTGTTACCTACTGAATAAAATATACTGTCATCAGTTATGTTCATCAATAGTGAGCAGAATTTTTTTTCTGGACCTACAGTCTTGTTTTTATAAGTAGTCACTCAGCTCACATTGATACATTTTTCGATATACTCACAAAGCATTTATAGTAGCAACTAAATCGGGTTTCCAATTCGAGTGGTGCACAGTTCCATTCCAATTCATAATAAGTGTATTTTATATACTCAGAATAAAATGTCTGAAGTGACTATTGTGCTTTTTCTCAATCCAATAGGTAGTGGTTGTTCGGCTGCAAACAATTTTATGTGAACGATGTAATTCAGCTCACTTGCTTCTAAAATACCGTGATGATCGGCATTCAGAAAGCAGTCAACTTGATATAAGCCAAAACTTAAATGTTGTAGACCTTTTTTTAAACAATGACCCCACGGGAAGAATTCGTCCTTTTAAGAATATTGGGCGAATCATACTTATTTTCAGTCAGACAGTTTAAATAAATTTAGCCGGTTTACAATATCGTCTAACAACACCAAATAACCACCTACTGTCTGCCATAGGGAGAGGAGCTCATAAAATCCACGTGAGAACCGTCCCTTCAGCGACCGGAGTTACCTCACCTAATCACCGATTATTACGATATCTACCATTGTCTGATCCGCTCTAGTAAAGTGGTAAGGTTCTCGATTAGATACCACCGATTCGATCAGAATAACTGGGAGGTAATAAAAATATTTATATTTAAATAGTCACCGAAATAATAAAAGAGTATAACCATTTTACCGAAATAAACGACAAGCGATTGTTGAAAAATCAAAAAAAAAACCCCCCATAAAATATTAGAATACTTAATAATTAATTGGCTAAACTAAAGATATAAGTCGGAACTAAAATACGAAAAAGGTGGGCAAGTGGGTGTCGCTCTGCTGTACAGTAGGTTACAAGTGGGTCACTGTATAATGGATGGTATTAAATTTGAATTCAATGATATAATATCATTGTATAAGAAAAACGATTCTGAGCGGTGACGGTATGTCAGTCTATGTATAAGACATATTATATACATATCTATGGTATATTGGTATTAAACAAAAAATTGACCTATTATAGGTACCTATAATAAATTACAAACTAATCATATCACAATATCCATTAGATACTTATAACGCGTTATACATCAACAAAAACCGTGATACTATCATAGATATATAATAGTACACTTTAGAAGTTTCAAGTACCCACGAATAATATTATTCAATCAAAACAAAATAACTAAAATCGTAATTCTTGGTTTAAATATGAAATTTTGTCTAAATTTGAAATTAAAATGTCTGTAAAAAATAAGTGTGTTTATATATTTTTTAGATTTTTTGGTTACAGTATGAATTATTTAAGAGAATCTTTGTTTTAAATTTTCAACTCTTAGTTATAAAAACTGAACATTTTATAATTTTTTAATTCCAACGATTGATAATTTTCGAGATTTTGATAAATTTTGTCAAAATTCCAACTTTAAATGCTTATAAAAAAAAATCGTGCCTATGTATTTTTAATATTTTTCAACTGCTATTGTAACAATATATCAGGAGCCTTGTATTAATTTTTTACACTTTTTGGCCCAACAGATAAAACTTTATTGATATTTATAGAAAAAAAAACTAAAAAAAATTGAAAGCTGTAAATGTCCATAAACAGCTCAAAAAGAGTCAAAATATTTTCAAAATTGTATGGTGTATAGAAAATGCTAATTTAAACATTCAGTGAAATTTTCATGTATCTACAGTTGTTCGTTTTTGAATTGCAACAAAATAAGGAAATCGCTACATGAGTAATCGAGTGAAAATCCAATTTTGTAAAAATTTGAATTTCAAACGCTCATAAAAATTTAATTTGACTGTCCGGTAGAGATTTTTTTATTGATAAAGGTAGATAATCTTATAAGGAATCTTGTGTTTCATTTTCAAATCTTAGATTTAAAAAGAAAAATTTTTACGAATTCTTAACTCAAAATAATTTGCTAATTTTCGTGATTTTTCCATATTTTGTCAATTTTTGAACTTTAAATGCTTATAAAAAAAAATTGTGACTAAGGATTTTTAATATTTTTCATCTGCCTTTGAAACAACATATTAGGAGCCTTCTATTAAATTTTCAAGCTTTCGCAACCAATAAATAAAATTTTATTGATATTTTTAGAAAAAAAACTAAAAAAAAATGGAAAATTAAAATGTCCCTAAACAGTTCAAAATAAATCAAAATATTTTGAAAATGTTATCGTGTATAGAAAATGCAAATATAAACAAACAGTGAAAATTTCATGTATATACGTTCATTTGTTTTAGAGTTACACCAATAACCAAAATCGATTTTTTGGAAAACCAATTTTGCGTAAAAATTCCCGTTTTTCCTTAATTTTTATGTTGTTTTTCCCGGCGCTTGTGAAAACTACTGGGAAATTTATACTTTTGACCCCCCAAAGTACCAACTAGATTCACTTTCCTACCAGAAAAGCTACTGATGAAGAAAATCCAAGTATTTTTACTGTCCTAAAACGTGATGACAGACACAAAAATATAAATAAAAATATAAATAAAAATATAAAAAAAAACATACATCATTGTAAAACCAATACATTCATCGCTCCGCTCAGAATCTAAAAACAAAATTAGATTTAAGTCATAATAAATAGAAAAGGTCTTAATTCTTTACAATATATAGGATCTATTAAATATTAATGAGGGGTGAAAGTCCAAAACGTACTATTGGCATATTTCATATTTTTCAGTATCGGCGATTCTGTATTTTAAAAGTTTTGAATGTTGTACATGCAATAATGAACAATCAATAAATTCAGTAAAATATCTTAAGAATTCATATCAAGTTAATAATTTTTATAATTTTGAAAAAGTTAATAAAATTTGGGAATAGTACGACGTTTTGGCTTAACGAAACCTTTTGTTGGCAATACATTAACATGAGAAATAGTTCCTTTTTTCTGTAACGTTGAAATAGTACCTACCTTTCGGCAAAAAACATTGACAATATAGTAAATTTTGTTCTAATTTTGATAATGATATCATGGTTTAATACCTACGGGCAATAGTACGTTTTGAAGAATATTTAAATTCTTTAATTTACAAAGATTAATTCATTGAAAAATATAGTACGTTTTTATATAGCTGCTATTTTTGTTATAATGATTTATACTGAAAATAATAATTTTTTCATTTGTTTTGTGACACCCATCGATTACCCACTATGTTTACAGTTTAATATGATGTCTAATTCAATTTCGATAAAAATGACAATAGGTAGTACGTTTTGGACAGTTATATAATAATAAATTATGAAAGCGATGCAGGAAAAGGGGTGCAGTGCAGACTGCAGATTATGCACTACAAATCGTTCACCATTCCAGGGCCTCAGATAAATTAATTTAATTTTTATTTTCAAAATATGTTTTATAATTTGGAATTATTGTTATATCATATTTTAAATACAAAACTGTCAATACAAAATTATTGTTTGTAGAAAATATAAGTAATTTTTTTCTTGAATCGACGCTGGTTAGTTCAATCATAAATATTTTCCAGCTTAAACAATCAATGGGTATACAGATGAAACTGCATTGTTATCAAAGCTATATTTTAGATTTGCTGTTTCTAATATTCCCGTCACGTATTTTCATTACCAGTAACTCTTATCAATTCCACTTACAATTTGTTAAATCACACCCTATAATGTAGTTGGTACTGGAAAACGATGAGAATTCACTGCTATTTTGTGTCTAATCGTCTTATCATCCGATACTTTTAAATTTCACTTATGCTTAACCTTTTATTAGTTATTATTTTGACAGAGAGCTTACGAATGCTTCTTAAAAAGATATCGGGATAATGTTCTGAGTGCGTCTATAAAAAAAGTTATAATCTGTATGCGTATAATCTACTTGTAACATACATGTTATTGGGGGACAGAAAACAAACAGCATAAACAAACATAATTAATAGGAAAACAAATAATTATAACATACATGTATGAATGGTTATTTATAAAAAAATTGATAAATTTACTTTTATTAAACTAACATAAAAAAATATCACTATTAAAAAAAAATCTTAATTTTATTTAATTGTATAAAATGAATAAAAACTCCTATTACCTACTGGTTATTATAGTATTTAAATTGTATTATTTTATTTTGTATATAATATTATATTATAATATATTGTATTATAATAATATACATTTTTACACTGTATTATTTTTCTGTCATGTATCTACCTACCTACAATGTATATGGAATCGATAAGCCCCCAATTAAAAAATGTCATAATAAAATGTCCAAAACTTTGTTTTATATAATAGGGAGATTACATATTTACATCATACATTTGTTTTAAATTGATTCTTAAATTACATCTTCATGAAATCAGTTGTCTGTTTTTAGAATATTCTGATATCGTCTTCAATATTATACTTACTTTTTTTCCGATTCAGCAATCTAATTTTTCTTACGTATTTATACTATTTGATAAGAAGATTGAATTCAAATCATTTATTGTTTTGAACTTTTTTTAATATTTCTAAAAATCAATATTTGGGGGAAGTGTATAGAACTACAAAGTATAAAGATACGGACGCAGTCGGGCACCCTCTAAACTTATCAGTGATTACATTACGGCCGCCTTTGGACAAATTAATAGGTGTACAATTTGAAAAATCAAACCCACGGGGCTGACACAAATTCAATTCTACCGGGCTCGTCAATTTGTTCAAAATCAAATTCGTATATACTAATGTATTACCTTGATGACGCGGTAGACGGAACCTTGGAACCGCTGCCCGCGGGATTCGGCCAGCTCGCGACCCGCTTGCAGCTTGATCTTGACCAGTTCTGCAGGGCACAGGACCACGGACGAGAACACGGACGCCGCGCATCCGGCCACCGCGTTGCTGAGCGCGTCCATCTGCTTGGCGTCCCGGGCGCCTGTGACCGCGGCCACCGCGCGCTGGCACAGGCCGTAGCACGCGAACAACACCGAGTTCTCGGCCACACCGGCCACCATGGCCGGCGACGAACCGGCGTACAGGCCACGCAGGCCGGACTTCCTGTACGTGTGCGCCAGACAGTGCGCGGGCCCGGAGTAAAGGCCGCGGAACGTCTGCAGCTTGGTCTTGACCGTGTCCAGCGGCTGGCCCACCAGCACGACGGCCACGCCGGCCAGTGAACCGGCCAATAGGTCGGACAGGCTGCTGCCGGCGCCACCGCATCCAGGGATCACGTCCGCCGCCATCGCGTCGCCGTCGGGGTTCATGTCGCTGCTGGTCGATGGCGCTTAGGACGAGGTGATCGCTTCTATGAACACTGGTCAGTTAAGAATTATTTAGGTTTGCAGACTTCGCTCGGACTGTGGCTCGTCAGTTCTGTCGAAGAAAATTACGGTAGCGACTCGATTTTCGATATTATATTATTATAGTATTGTGTACACGATGTTAATGTTGGAACGTCGTGCGTTGTGCTTTCGCCGTTGACATGTGAGGATTGCCCCGATACGCTAGTGATTATATTGTTATTTTTAGGATTTTTTTTCAACTGTTGTATTCCTCATTCACATAAGCCGCACACTAGGACCGGAGATTAGATAGCAAAAACGGCGATCCGACCTCTCGACACCAGATTAATTACATTGTTGTTGTCGTCATGATAAATATTATTATTTATACTATTTGTCATTTGACATACATCAAGTTTAGGTAATGTCACAAATCCATAGTCGATGCGTAAAAATCTAAATCATATATTATTTTGATTTCGATCTCAGCGCAGAGTAGAATCACGCGTTGAACACTGCTGTTACTAAAAGAATTATAACAAATAAATATTGGGCTGCAGATATTGTAAGGTAATATTGAGTATAGGTATCTGTTCACGTTGATGATAATTAATTATTGGTGTGTTGACTATCGTTGGTGCCCTAGGACAATCATATTTAGAGGCCCAATAAGTCAACATGATATTTCATATAGGAAATTTCATTTATTTTTAATTATATTTATAATTTTTTTAATCAGCTTTATATATTCACAATATTTGTGTAAAATATAAATAAATAATCAGGTAAAACAAATTATTTAAACAATTAACTAAAAATAGTTTATGTCAACTTACAGTGCATTGAATCACATTAAACTAGTATTAAGGTTATGTGTATACTGTACTAATGATTTTTTAGTTATAAATCTTACTCAAATATGTTTTGTCGGTTAAAATTTTTCAAAATTTGGTGAGTATGTTGTCCATTTTATATTCCTTTTTTTAATTGTTTAGTCATAAAACTTTAGTTTTGAATAAATTAAAAATATATTTTTGAAATTAATGAATAACAAAATAAAATTATAATATAAATCAAGGATCTAATATGTCTAAACCAGGGACTGGAACCTTGATGAATTTTAAGGTTTAGGTTCCTGTTCGGTCCCTAGAAGAAAAACTAAAATTTCAGTTTCGGTTCCAGTACGGTTCACAGAAAAACTAAAATTTCGGTTCTGTTTCCGGTTTCCTTTCGGTTCTTAAAAAATAAATATTTGTTGCTGGTTTTGGTTTTATATACTTATGTAAAAAATATGTGTAAAGTAAAAGTATCGGTTTGGTAAGGTTTCGGTTTTTAAATTAATTAAATTAATGGTTCTGGTTCTAGTATTAAAATTAATTTAAATAAAGATTTCGGTTTCAAATATTCAAAGGGTTCCGGTTCCAAAACCAGTTATTTTCGGTAAGGTTCCAGTCACTGGTATAAACACTTTGATTCGGCATACTGTAGGGTACTGTTTTGTCTTCATTTCACCTTTTAAAATGACATGTGGTTATTTTCAACTGAGAATGAGGAAAATTCAGTTCAAGCCATTTAACATCTAAAATACTGTTCATTATTCGCTTTCTTTAATCTTTATAAAAGTCTATATAAGTATTCATATAATATTTTGATATTATATAAAGAGACTCACCATAATTATCGATACTGATACTTGATAAAATTGAATTCTTTTAACTCTATGTAATTATTTATACGTTGAGATTACTTGTTAAAAATATTAAATAATAATAGTTACAATATTTGTTGTCAAATAGTCACTCATAATGCTGTTTCTTATAATAGTCACACATAATTTAGTTTTGAAATCACTTTCTAATAGTAGGTACCCAGTGCTGGATATTTCCTAGTACCTAAATATTCTTGTACTCAGAAATGTTTGATGGAAAATGTAATATTTTCTTTATAGCCGGTACACGGAATTACTGTTTATTATGCAATAAACAATTTTCAATGAACAGAAAACATTAAAAAAATTTTATTTTGTTCAATTTTAAATATTTGAATATAGTTATATGCATAATATTACTATACATTGTCTGCTATTATTATGCAAATATAAATTGTTCAGTTATCGTTGATAATATGCATATTAATTTGATTATATACTGGTCAAATGCATAAAGTTTTAAGCGTTTAGTATAAAACGATGAGACATTTAATATAACTCGTTAAACATTCCTTCATATTTCACTTATTTACTAAGAGTCTGATCAGTTGCTTGTATTTTTTTATTGTGGTGAAATATTAATAGTCGTTACACATCTAGTACCTTTCTTCATTTTAATACATTTTAAACACTATAATTTGTTTTGCTGTTTATTAGGATGAACTATGAAGTATTTATAGCATTAATATTTACTTATATTTATTTATCTACTGTAATTTAATTATATAATGTATAATATTTTATGGGATACATACGATTATACGAGAAGCCTAAAAATAAATTCCGGTATTTTGTGTAACAGAAAGAGACAATAAACACGGCTATGATCCTCTTTAGAAATAATTTAGTTTTGACTGTGTATTATACAAATCTTTATACAGTTAAAGCATTATTTTTGTTCGGGTTTGGAGGACACTTGAGCGCTTGAAATATGAAAGGCATGCGTATTTTTCGTTTTCTGTCGAATCAAATCCGCTTAATCACTAGTGCAACGTCTCAGACCTAAAGCTTGTTTATACAACTTAGACAATATTAGCTCATCGCCGTGTCTTATAATATAATTAACCATGAAGGTGGAAGTTTGGACGGCGCTCTTGTAACGATCTCCACAAAAAGTTTATTGCGTCTTACCATTTACACCGTAGTTATTATGTAATAGGGGTAGCAGATGTGTACCTAATTTATATTGTCCCGGTACAAGCGCGGTAACCTTTGCCTGTACCTACCACTGTGTATCGATACGCACTGCCCATAATTCAATTCCGAAAACGAACCAAAAGACCCACAAAAGTACCCACACGTATGTCTTATATACCCAGGGGTTAAAGTGGGAAAAATGTCCAGAGGGGACTAATGTCTCCATATAGTTTTAAGAGTTCCATATACAATTTTATGTATAATGTCTAATGTATAAAATCCTAATTTGTTAAAGGGGACGCTTTTTAACCGCCGTCAGAGGTAGGGGGACTGAGTCCTCCTGCGTCCCCCCACTTTAGCCCTTGTATATACCAGCAGTAATATTATAGTTATAGACATTCAAAGCACGCTGTATAGGTAGTGTTGCGGGTTTTTACGAGTACCTACATATCTACCTACGTAAGTACAATATAACATTGTAACGTCGAAACACGCGTGCACAGTGCGTGATAATATCACGGATGTATGCATACGGGTGTAGCATGAAAGCTCTCGAAAACATCGCTCTTCGCACGCGAAGCTTACAACACGAGTAATACAAATAACAAATGTCTATAATACATTAAGTATACATTGGATACACCATAATAATAATATTAAGCTATGCTATGATGTGCATCGCATGTACAGTTTTGCCTCTAATACCTGGAGAGCAATAATAATTGACGACGCGAGCTGATTACAGACCACGCACGTCTGTGCCTCTATCTATCTATATCCACAGGTTTTCGTCGCGACAACGCTGAAAATTGTATTATTATTACCGTGCTAGCCATCTTTGTCGACGTGCATAATAACAACAGAATTATAATATTGCGTATTATGTAATAATTACGCATACATTATTACAATATTATTATTGTCATGCAGCGACCAAGTCTGTATATTACGACCAGCCATAATATAGCATAGCTATAGGTACTACCTACTCGAGTAGGTGCAAGACGGTACGAAACGAATGTTTTATTTGAATAGCGATTGGTAAAATAATAATATTATGTTACATAACAAATTTAATACCGTAAATCCTAGTTAAATAACAACGATTAGTTGTATGAAAAAGCCTCAATATTAGTCTGGAATTAATATTAAACACGATATAATGTATCGAACTGTTCTACATAGAGAACAATTATTTACAAATACTTTATTTGATATGGAAAAATAAACCGAAATAGCATTAAAAATTTAAAAAAAATACAATCAATTACTTCGATCGAAAAATATAAAAGTGTTATTATTGTATTAATATGTCTTCTGTCGTGTATATTTTAAAGGCGAATCTAAGAACGAATGTATAGTATGTATACATAATATATAACTCTCAAGACATTGTTTCTCGATTAATATTGTTAAATATTTTTTGAAAAATATAAAAAAAGTTTAAATAACGCCTCTTGTTTTTTTAATGTTTTTTATAATTTGAAAATATTTTTCCAGTTGTCACAGTGTATCCATAAAAAAAAATACCTCTATTTTATTATTGTTTTCTTCGTTTTTTTTCTGTATAATATAGAAATAAAACCTAAAAATTACATTTATTATTGACCTATATACATATTATTACGATTTTAACCTTGTCAAGAGGATTATTTACATTTGTATAAATTCTGATTAAGAGAACGTCATATCATTATTTGTTATTATATTTGTCTCTTTCACACGTGACATAGAAAAGAACACATTCACAATGATCGATCGTTATGACTATGATTATGAAGCAATTCAACAATTTTAAGTGTTGAACACTTGTTTCAAATTGAGAAAAACACTGTTTTCAATGTAACTACACAGATAGAGAATTTTGATATGCATTAAAATAATGCAACTTATGTAATCAGCAGACGGCTAAAAAATATTTATGTGTAGTTTGTAGGTATGATTATAGTTTATAAATACTATAAGTTTTAGTATATAGGTATTTCATTTTTTAATGACAATGAACTGATATTGTACTATGTGCCATTTCCTCGATAGACTAAGAATAATAATAAAAAAAAATGTTTAAAATAAAAATAATGAGTGTTAGTTTTTATGTCACTATTATAAAATACCTTGAAAAAATGATAATAAGTGG